CTGTCCCAGGTTAATCGCTGTCTCAACCTTGTAGGCTGGAAGGCAGCCATCCTCCTTGATCTTTCTCAAGTAGGAGCCCATAGACGGGGGGCGTTACCGTCTTCACCATCAAATGCTCCACGGCTTCATCTGTCTTGTCACTGGGGAACAAAACGCCAGCGATTCTCCGACGCACCAAGGCCTCTCCCAACCGAGGTCAGGAACTCCTGAAGACTACAGCTCCAACCGACAGAAACGGCCCATTGGTTCAAACGCGACCACATCACCTCCGTCCGCCCTTCAAGGATCGCCACATCGAAAACCTCATGGTCCAGGTACTGGCCCAGGTACTGGGTGAACTCTGCCACTTTCCTGCCCTTTGGGTCGGGGCCGATGGTGCCTCAGCGGCCCTCAGTTCGTTCCTCAGCCCTGCGATGACGGCACTCCACCCATTGGCAATTCCCCGAAACCGCTGCAACTCCTTCAATGGCAGGTTCTTGTTGCCATAGTTGAAGTGCGACTGCGCCAACAAGTAGGCTCCTGGAAGGGACATCTTCTCCAAGTCGGCATCGATGGTGAGGCCCCAGACAGTTTGTTGGTTGCTGAGCTGCCCTTCCTCCGCATCCTTCAACTTATTGATGGCCTTCTCTCCCAGCAGCTTCACCACTGCCCATTCATAAGACCTCACTGGACACCCAAGGCCGTAGTCCAATCATTGGCTCAATGAGGACCATATCGTCGACCAGGATTTTCCCACAGAAGTGCGCCTCCCCGTCTCGTCTGCCATGAAGTGGTCGTAGATTGCGGTGGACCTCCTCCGTGGCCCGCCCCCATGCTCCTCCTCGTACACGAACTCCCGGCCGTTCCACCCATAGGGTTGTCGTCCACCAGTTTTTGAGAGGAGCGGCTGTGGTTTTGCCCCCCCCCCCCCCCCAAAGTATGGACCAGAGTCTCCACCACGGCCCGCACGAAGTTGGGTGCATAGACTCCTGCTCCGGTGCATCTGGAAACAGTGACCCCCGGTCGGCTGCCCTTGAGCGCCACATGCTGGTGCGTCTCCGAAACCCCCGGACAGAGGCGGAGCAAAGCCTGACGAAGTGGAGGATGATGAGGAAAGGCGAGGCCCGTCCGGCGCCGATAGAACTGGCCCTCCGTACCCGGTGGCCCCAGGCCGAAGGCACACATGTCTCGATCTCAATGAAGTCAACGTCTGGCCGTTGGAGAAGCCGTCGCCATTGGGGTAGATGCCATTGCTTGGGGTACCTGCCCGATGTCCCAGAGCTCTTGGCGATAGGGAACACCTTGCTGCATGGACTTCTCGAAGACGAGCTGGATTCTGAAAGGTCCTTGTTCCCCCATTCTGGAGGCACCAGTCGCAGAAAGTGGTGCATGGGCTGGCAATCCATTGCACATTGGATTCTAGCTGCTCCAGCTTGTCCAAGTAGTGCTTCTGCCTGTCTGGATTGGCCAAATCATGTTCAGGTCGCGGACCAAGCTGTTGGTGAGGCTGCTCAAAAGTTCGACGGGTTCAAGGGCGATCATCCCAGCGTCTTTCCACCCGCGGGATGACCCCATGCCCAGCGAAGTACTCCCTCAACACCAGGCCGGTGTGCCCTCGCGCTCCATGAACTGTCGTCTGGCCCCTCCCCGGCCATACACTGAGACAGGGCTGGCAAGCAGGCGGTTTTCCTCAAACATCCATACATGTCTGGACCCTCCTTGCCTCCTCCTTTCCTGGTCTTGCAATGTCTGCGCGCAATGATTGCCGGGGCGCTTCGCTTGGTCGTGACGCTGGTGCCAAAAGTACCTGAACCCGAGGCACGGAGTATGGTAGACCTCCTTCCTGGCCAGCGCTTCCCCAATGGTCTTTGAAGGAGGCTGCAACAAGGTCATGTGGCCCTTGGAGATCATGACCCACACATCGTGATGTGTCCACTGGCTGCCAACAACCGTCTCCAGTAGGAGGTCACCTTTGTAGTCCGCCCTGACCACGATGATTCTAATCTCCTCGAGGGCTGCCAATGGGGAGACGGCAGCTCGATAATCCTTGTCATGATGTGGTTTGAGGATGTCGTGAGCATACATTCTAAGCTCATGCTCGACTGGGGCTACCTTCGCCTCAGGATGGCCCATGACCCCCTCTGCTTCAACTGCCAGTCGTGCTTGCTCCAAGCGAAAAAACTCCTGGGACAGCCTTTCCACATCCTCCAGGCCCGGTGCCCTCTCCGTTTGGGACATAAGCAGCCCAGCTGCAAAGACCTTGGTGACGCATTGGCGCTTCTCCTTCTCCGGCTCAACAACTGCCGCCTCCTCGCGCTCGGACTCGGATGCATAGTCCTTCAACTTCTTAGCCGTCTGATCCGCCTTCGAGAAGAACCAGCCCATCAGCCTTGATCCTGACCGTTGGGCCCCAGCTGCAGTGGACATCAGGTGGAACTTCTCAGGATTCAGCTGTCGGGCTAAAACGTAGCTCTTGAAGTGCTGTCCATCTTCAGGGCAACTATCGTGTCGACAAAGGTGGACCCTCTCATAGCCTTTCAAAGCCAACAGCAAAGGGGGGTCACCCCGCGTCGCCTCGGGATCGAAGCTGAGATACATCCCGCTGGATTTGATGGCCGCATTCTCTGTGACCTTGACGATGACCACATGTCCATCACGAACACCTCCTGCCAGTCGTTGCGTATAGAAGGCCACCCGACCGCAGCACCTCACGCATGCTCGTACAAGCCAGACCAGGGTGAGGATCGTTCCGATGAGGAGGGAGCATAGGGGCCAAGCCAGGGACAGGAAGTAGTGGAGCACCAGGCATACCGCCATCAAAGTAGCGACTCGCAGGATCATCGAACATCCTGTGCGCACCTGGATCCAGTTCTGTCCAAACACCAGCCAGCCAACTCCACTCAGCAAGGTGTCCAGGACCGTTCATATGATGCTGTCCCACGTCGTGAGGGAGTTGTACTGCAGCTGGGCCGACGCCATGGTGGCGTTCACCTTCTGCTGGAGGCACACGAACGGCTCTGCCCAGCAGGTGCCGTTGGGTCGGTGGTCATCCTCCTCCTCGACCGGATGCCACCACCCTTGGCTCGGGCCGACTGTCCAGCCCACCAAAAAGAGGCCCCATCGCCACCGCACCATGGCCCCGCCCAAGGTGCGAAAAAAAAGGCTTGGGCCTTAAAGCTACCAACCACAAGGTCAGCATGCCAGCCCAAAAGTAACGGTTTGGAAAACCTGCAAAAAAATTGGATTCCATATTCTAACTGTCTGTCCTACATTGTAAATACATTGACTTGCACACACACGCAAAGCATAATTTGCCAGGGATCGGTTCGCTGTTCATACACAGGTTAAAGGCCAGAAAAGCAAAGATACACTACACATATTGTCCCCTTTACCTGGCATCCAACCTTCTTCTCTTCTTTCGCCTCTGCTGACAGCTGTCCCACCCATACACACCATCTGGCACACATCCACTCACACCATCTAAAACCATCTTACGGGCATCGACTTGTATACACCCCTTTACACTACACATGTGTCTGTATCTGGTCTTTGCATATATAGACGGTTTGATATTTTACCCCCGTCTCACAACGAAGAATAATCCAAAACTATCATGGTCCAGGTGGTGAGTCCCGACTATGCACCTGCCAGAAGCGGCCTGAAGTCTTTGTCATGGCATCAGCGGCTTCCTGTTTGTTCCTCCTGTGTGTCTGTGCATCAAGTTTGTTGCAAATTCTGATTGAAATAACTTGCTCAAAGCCGGTCTGTTGAGTGTTAGACATTCTCACAATCGAGACTAAACGTTCAGCAACTGCCGTGTCTGAAATGCTGCGTGACCTCGACTCAAGCAGGACTACTATCTTGGAGTAGCCCCACAGTGACATTCCATATATCAACTGCTTGGTTTGAAGCACATAGGAAAGCATTTGAAGCTGTTTGGAAGGGCTGCATTGTCTTCATGCTTCAGTGGCAACCAGTGACGGAACTTTGGTCAAAGCATTCATGGATTCTTAAGTGTTTTAAGTGGCTCAAGAATAAGCTCGGCATGATGGTCGAGGAGCAGCGACGTTGGTGCGTAAGCGCTGAAACATTCACCCTGCCAGTCAGTTCAGTCAGTCATGAGCAATCGGTGTCTTTACACCCTTCCGCACACATCTTCTTCACTTCAGAAGCTTTGTGCACCAAGAACTTCAACTTAAACTATGTTCTCTGGGCTATGCGATCCTGAGTATGGGTCCCTTGGATCACTTGGATGTGGATCAAGGTACTCTCGCAAATGACAGCATTGAAATTGAGGGCCCAGCTGGCTGCTACTTCTGTAGCAGTTCAGCATACGCTTGAAGTACCTGTCTTTGCAGCATTCCCCAGGCTTAAACTTTACCAGCACATTTGAAAACCGTGCACATTCAAAGTTGCAACAAAATTAAAACTCGATATGTCCGATACGTGCTTTGCTAAATAAAGAAATACCGTGACATCCAAAAATTGAAGAACCTTAGAACTGTATATGTCCATGCTCAAAAAGCACTCAACAAGCAACTTCACCGGATAAAACTATAAACTATAAACATCAGTCATCTCCATTCAACCTTTCTGTAGCGTGTGGCTTTGGAGCTCTATTTACAGTATCTGTTCGAGGCAAACTACCGTGCAAGCACCAACAAAGCCCCGAGGAACAATGTGTTGAAGGCCACGACAGCAGTGGTGACCAAGAACAGCGCAGCCATTCCGGCGATGTTGTCGGATAGCGAAAGGCATCAGGCACACCTGCACATGAATGTGTTTGTTGTGGAAGTGCAACTCCACAACCATATTTCTTGTGCTTGCAAGCATGTACACCGGATTCAAGGGTCCGTGAACCCTGTCTGATTTATCCAGAATGGAAACTGATAGCGTAATTGGTTCACGTGTATATTGTTCCGTGCTGGATGCGGCTGTGGAAGCGGCGCATATTGCTCTCAAAGTGGGAGAAAATGTCCAACTTTCTGCGAAGTGTCAACACTTGGACCTGAGTGACCAGGTCAAAATACGTCCTGGAGTCCTGGGCTCTGCAAATTCTGGCCCTTTTCCCCGACGACTCTCTGCAGCATGTTGTTCAGGTCATTTGTTTCGTCATCTAAGCTCTTCAAGTATCGTTGGATGCATCGATACTCACCTCAATCAAAGCTTTGGAGGAAAAAATCGATACAGTAAAACAAAAATGAGCCTCATTGCAACTAAGCCACTTAGTTTGACTCGAAGTACATCTGTACTTGCAGTTTTTGTCACAATAGCTTCCTGGGACGAGGACAACTATCAGCGCAGATTTTCGACTGGCAACTTCTCAGGTTGGAAAGCAAGCCACAAACAATCTTAAATCGCGGGCCTTCATTCGTGGGTCACGGTCATAAGCTTCTGAGAAAAACCGGAGCAATTCCCGCAAGAACTTGGTGTAGCTCTTTCCCTGGCTTGCACAGGCCTTGCGATGATCTTTCAGAATTTGGGATTGTGCGAGATAGATTGCAACATACTTCCGAGCATCTGGACGATGACAGGATGACATGACAAACAATGTCTCTTTCAGGCCTTCAGAGCAGCAACCACCGTTGGGTGTAGCACGGCACTATGAAATTCAATAAGTAGTCCAGCGTGGCTAGGTGGGAGGTGTTTCAGCAACAAGAAGCGCACCCTGCTGGGCAACACTGTGAATGTCTGGTGCCGCATTGCCTGGATTGTTGACGTGACTGCAAAACAAATATGTGTTTCTTTGATCATCAATCCAAACCCTCTCGTACTCTTACAAAAACTCGCTGTATTCAGGGAAAGAGTTGAAGCCCGAGAACCATTTGGATAAAGTGTCTGCATCCAAAAGAAGACGAAGAGTGGCTAGAACCTTTAAAGGCCTTGTGCAGATTGTGCTCAGGTCTTCGCAAAAAGCACAAAGTTTAAAAAGAAAACTATAGGAAAAAGCAGGATCTGGAAATCTGAAGGTGTCCTCAGTGTTTTCCACATGTGCGTGTGAAGACCATCATGTCATTTCTCATCCCTTCAGGTCTTGTCTCGAGCTGTTTTAAGCCCGGAGGGTTAGCCGCAAGAGGAAGAGGTGGGTAGAGTAGCTATTAAGTAGGAAGCTTCTAGACACGCAGGATAGCTCACGCACTAATGATTGGTTCCTAGAGTTTTAGGGAAGCTTAACTGCACATCTGCAGGTCTTTCGCCTCTTGCCTCCTTTTTATGACCATTGGGCTGCCAAATGCGCGCAACACTACAGATCCCACTCCCATGACCTCCAGAATCAACATACTGCATAATAATATGTGCAAAGCGGCTTCCAAGGGCAACGTGAAGCCATAGGTCCGGTAGAGCTCAGAGATCGAAAGCTGGCTATATGTAAAAAACACCTCCTCACCCGCTTCAATATCTCGTGTTGCCGCCACCAACATGCCCCCCATACCATCGGGGGCGGGACGCGCAGAGGCTCGATTCGGATCATGATTGAAAGAGTCAAGACCAGGTACCAAAGTTGTGCGAGTCCCCTCCAAATCAAAAGCACGGGTGATCACCATCAGCCAGCCCCGAAGAAATTGCTCAACTGAAAAATCGATGGAAAAAGTGCTGGAAAGCGCATCATACCACTGCATGATTGTCCAAGACAAGTATTCAATCAAATCGGCCTCACAAGATGGAGACAGCAAAGACTTGAAGGCTGTTGGATCCTGCGCTGCAAGTCTGTAGGGGTGTTGGGCAAAAGTCTCGCAAAGCAGTACTTGCAAAAAGGCTCCCCATACCTTTTGCTTTGCCAAATCATGGATGGCAACCTTCCCAAATCTGGAGTCTTCAATGGCAGTAATCCAGCTTGCCAAAAACGTCGCTTGAAGGGCTAGGTCGATATTGTCTGAATCAAAAGACACTTGATGAGCTGCTTCAGCCACCATGATGGCGCACTCAGGAGCCAGTTCTCGCACTGCCATTGGTGAGAGAAGTAAGTCTGGTGGACACCTCACAAGCACCTCACCTTTGGAGATGCAATGATTTGTCACAATTCCAGGCACTGTAAGTCTATCAGTGCTGGCCCTTTCTATTTTCGGATTCCACATACCACCGCTCTCCTCTAGCAGTAGCTGCAATGTCTCGTGCCGTCGGTGGTCTTGCTGAGGTCCGACAGGAGCAAAGGTAACTGTTGGAAATGACAGAGATCGCAAGTGAAAATTCTGCGGTTTGCTTGAACTTACCAACAACGTGTCTCCGGGCTTTGCATTCTGCGGAACTGTGATCTCAAGCACCCTGTCACCTCGTGTATAAATGGTAGAAACACCTGGAATGGCATCAGCAGGAACCAATGCCCGAAGGTGTGCTGGCCGCTTGAAGACATGACAGCTCACCTGAACAGGATTCTTTTCCAAAGTCACCTCGACACTGTGACGAGGGGCTGCATCCTTAGGCAGCACCGTAGTGAAGATCCTACCCTGGCAATTGACTGCAACACGGGTGACACCAGGAACAGATCCAGGTGGAACCTGTACAGTGGCACGTTGAGATGCAGGAGACACCTGGCACAGGAAGAGCTGTAAATTTTCGTTCCTAGATTCTTGATCTGTCCAAGACAGTTTTGAAGGGATAGAGATTTTGGAACATCTGCGGCTTGGGGCCAATAACATTTCACACTTTATGATTTGCTATGAATGCTGAAGCAAAACCAAACTATAGCAATCTTCATTAGTGATGAGATTGTGACTAGACCAGGCTGCCCTGGCCTTCACCTCAATGGTTGCTCTCCAGCGGCGACAACAACGAAGCCGAGGAAAAGGGTGCCCAAAGCGGGATAAGTTCCCTCCCATCTCCAATTCAGGTCTTTCAAGCCATCTGCATTTCTGGACGTCGATTCCATCTCTGAATCTGACAATGTCCACGGCAAGTGCGCAACACGCATAGTGCATGTTAAAACCCATTAAATGTGTTGTCTATCGCAATTTTGACAGCGCATCTATGGTAAAATCCGCACACCCCGCCCAGATGTGGAATGGCACATCAGTCACATATAAATTACAGTAGCTGCAGAATAGCAGCTGAACACCTGCACCATAAGCAGTTTTAGTTTGGCAAAGGGCGCAACTGATTTCCATTGACTTCGTGTTCAGCATTGCGGCCTGTTGGTCTGTCCAGGGAAGGCTACTTGTACTGATTCAGCAACAATATGCTGAACACTTGCAACATGCCCCTAATTGAACGCTCGCAATCAATAACTGTAAACCACTCTGTAATCATGACAGTTAAGGCCCTTTGCCCTTTCGTTTCTGATGAGTTGTGAGTTGTGCAATGCTGAGGTGATATGAGGTGATCTTTACTGGACCGGCGTCATATTGCTGATTTTTTTGCGATCCGATTGTAGACAAGCATGGCGAATCCAAATCTGATGTTGTGGCATGTGATGATTATCATGTGCTGTGGGGACATGTGTTGTGGTGGTTCTTCATATGTGGTGAAGTGTTCTCTTTCAAAAATGTTACCATTCTGCACTTGTTACTCAAATTCATCGCTGTTCTGCACTGTTCTGCAAAGGTCTCGGTTTACTTGTCGCTTCGTCCAGAAACTGCAATTGTATAACACCTTGCCATCGACTTTTTGGTTGTGATTTCTTCGTTTGAGAGATTCAGGCTTTGCTGTGTAATATTTTGTTTGAAAACTGTTTGCTCTTTTTTGGGGCTGCACACTCTTGATGGAACACTCACACTTGCACATCAGGCAGGTATCTTTTGCTCGGCTTGATACTTTGGCCGCGTGGATGGTCCTGGTTGAGGTCCGGCAGGGAACACTAGGCGTGGATAGTCATGGTTGAGGAGGACGCGGAGGAGAAGAAGAAGAAGAAGGAGATAGGGATGACGTAAAGTCCAACAACCCTCACCTGACAGGTGGGGAAAAACAAGGCCACTTCAAAAACTGTCAAGACTAGAGGGGCAAGCAGTGACAGCTCCGCTCAAGGTCGCGAGCATTCGAGCTGCTGGCAAGGGCAAATGGTGAAGTTCTTCACTCTAGATACAGTGAACCAAGTGGCGCGCAGGCCTTTCCAAACCCCCCTTTTTTTCCACGAGTGCGGACGCCATGTGGGCGGTGTGCCCAGGTCATCATAGAAGGAAAGGAGACACTGCCTATTGATGGGGGAAACAAGCCAAGAACACAAAAACCAAACAAAACAACAAACCCAACACCCACCACAAAACAAACGCAAAAACCACCAACACGGACCCCCAAACAAAGTGGGCAGTGTTTCCTTTGTACTGGAAGTGAAACAGGTGAAAAAGGAGCTGCAAAATGTCTAAGGGCCTGAATTCACAACGAAAGGCGAAATGCTTTCTGGTCGTGGGCACTTACATAGATTGGCCAATAAAAGGTGGCCACACTCCATATGCAAGTGTGAGGTCATCCATGCCTCACTAAGCATAGTTTGACATCGTGCTAAGTGACAAGTGCACCTTATGCAGTTGTCAGATGACTATGGCCAAAGAGTCATCGGTTGCGAAGCACTGCAAGCCGTGGAAAATTCTCTCTCCGTGGCACAATCCATACAACTGATTGCACATACGAAAAGCAAGACTTATCTTGAGCATGAAAGTGGACGGCATCGCAACGAAAGGACTGCTCACGACATGCTGATTGCCCTCCCGCAAGGGAGGCACAGCGCACTCCCAACAGCACCGACGCGAGAGCGTTCTAGGGGTTGTGCATTCTTCCATCAGATAGTGAGCAACTGAGATCGCTATCCTTCACCATGCATGGCCCATGTGAAACAAGTGAAACAAATCCTGCATGGTACTTGTGCCATCTTTGTACAAGATCGGCTGTGGTTCGGCTCCAGCAGATGAGCAACTAAGGTTCTCCCTGGGTGCCATCCATCAACCGCACTGCTACCGCCCGCCCACCTTGGACGAAGAGCTAAGGGAGGATGACGAGTCAATCTACTTTGCGGGGGCTGACTCACTTTGAACAGTGGGGGAATGCGCCTTACGCTGCATCAGGCGCGTACCCACTGTCAGGGATCATGTGCCATCTCATGGCCGGACAAATGGCAAAAGCATTTTCTTCTGCGTATATTCCTCTCCATTTATGCTGGCCTGGGAGCTTGACAAGCTTACGGAGTGCAGTGCAGTCCAGAAAAGCTCGGCTGGCAATGTAATGCAATGAGAGCGGTATGGCTAGTTCCGGCAGTGCAGCACAGTTCATGAAGGCTTTTACCCAGATGGTGTGGAGCGTATATGGTAGTCTGACTTCAACAAGGCCAGTGCAGTGCGCAAATGTAAATTCCTGTATTTCTTCGATCTTTGCGTTTGAAAGGTCAACTTTCTTCAACAATTGACAGTTGTCACATGCATGCGCTCCCAACGTTTGGAAGTCCCGCGTGAGCTCAAGCGAACGAATCCCTGTGGAAGTAAACGCTTCCTGACTGCATTCGAGCTGGCAATTCTTGTGGATGAGTGGCCTCTCGCAAGATGAAGGTGGCCAAGTTGATGCAATCTCTAAATAGATAGTGCCCAAGTTCAGTGGAACTACGAAATTGGGGCTCGCTTCTCCCTCAGCAGCACAGACCCACTGTAAGGAGCTGCATTCAGCAAAGGCCTTTCAGCCAAACTCCACGCAGCCAGGCGCCGTGACGCTGTTGAGTAAGTGGCACCCTCGAAAAGTGTTGTCTGCTGTTCTTATCACCGAGGTCGGCAGTCCAACTCCACACCAACAACCCTAATTCCTGCTTCTACGCCAACGCGTCACAGCTGTGAAGGTGCCCTCAGGGACCATCTCCTCTGAGACACCCTTCGAAGGTCTCCTTTGAGGGAAGGACTTCACTGCAGCTGCGAAACACCATGGTGTATTCAGTGCTTTGTTGCAATTTTTCCCAGATTGGATTTTCTGAGCAGGTGTGCGTGTCAGCTTGCAAGAAGTCGACTGTACATCCATTGAAGGCCAGCAAAACTGCCAGGCAAAGGGTGCCGCTCCCTGCATTGCAGACCTATAGTGACCTTTCTAGGGAATAGCCGATGGCGAGACTTGCTATTTCCAGCAAGTAAATCAATCACCTCGTCCGTACGTTCCTTTGGAGGAGGGTGACAGAACAAGCACTCCATGGCTCCTCCTTTGTGGACATTCCAGATGAAATTAACCAGGACTCTAGGGGGGATCTCCTCCGTTTCAGTGAAGCCTTTGCTGCTCTCCTATCCAACCTCTTTGCTTTTGTGAAGAGTGGGCATCCAGCATGTCCCTTCATCACGCACAAACAGCTCGCCCTCTGTGCAAACCCCCGATTCTGGCAATATGGTCTCCTGGCCTTCATTGCGAGGTGCTGTTCCTTTGATAATCAACATAGACAACAGGGTCCAGGTCCAGCAAATGGAGAGGAAGGAAAATCACAAACGACAAAGGAAAAAGATGTTGATGCCCTCACCTTTATGCGCACTGTCCTCATGTCCTTTGTTAGGGGAATGGAGCATGGGGAACAGACATTGCCCACCAATGACCTTTTCGTCTATCTACCAGTACAAATCCTGTCTGACCTGGTCGTAGCCATGGAACAGCAGGGCTTCACGCCTGCGGAAGTGAAAGGGAGTTATGGATATCGGCCAAAAGAAGAAGATGCTGAGGACAATTCCTTGCTTGTGGTGGGAGTGCACACCAAGGACATTGTTTATGACCAGTACCCCCGAATGCTGGACACGTCCTGGGCAGAAAGAGCCTACTTTAGTGGTGCTCTTGCCCCGTCTTTGGGACAAGCTTTCTCGTTTCCCTCTGCAGTTCAGGCTGCGTATCGAAGTCCCCTTGTGGCGAGACCTGACTACTGCCAAACACCCCAATGCAGACCTGCCTGCAGAAGAAGACTCTGCCTCTGACACTGCTGGGAAATGACACTAGGACTCCCAAAGTTGGCTCTTGACTCTCTGCAATCTTTTCGCACGCGTAGGGAACCGTCATCGCAGGAATACCAAGGGTCAGTTCTAAAAAATCAAGATTTCTGAGGAAACCGGTGGATCTCTTGATGGGAGTTTTGTCATCCAACTTGAATTGGTGAGACCAAAATCTTAGAGCATAGATGAATTCCTGCGAAAGGCCTGCTGAATTAAGCAGACGAAACAACCGACATCATCCGCAGCACTCTTCACAATGCCGGCAAGCCTTAGTCTGGTGGGAACTGGGCACTCCAGCAAGGAAATGCTGCTCCCAATGGCAAAAAGTGCAATGGAGGCGCCTGAATGCGCACGCAGGTGGAGGAGCTGAATGTTTACGGCGTTTTCTAGCCGTTGACAAAAAGCTTGAAAGAGGAGGGGGGGGGCCCGGCCTCTAAAAATGTCGGAAGGCAATTCTCAGTGAGATAGGCCTCCACTCTGGCTATAATTCATTTTTGCTAAAGCACAATGGAAAACTCAGGTAGCGCAACCGCTACCTTTCTTTTTAGAGGCTCCCGCCGAAGACAACGAAGGTTCCCATGTAGCATCAAAGCAAACTCTTTATTCTTGCTGCATGGGGGGGGGCCCCCCCTAATTCCCCCGCGCCACGAAATCTGCACTTATCGCACCATTCCCTGCACCTGCCACGAAATGCTTTCTTTTAAAGACTCCTCCCGAATACCACGAAGGTTCCCACGAGTAGACTTTAGGCTTAAAGTTATGAGATTTTTTGCCAGCCAGAGATTGGAAATCAATGAATTAATTGTTTGCTGTTTTTTTGGTGTTTTTTTTGCTGTTTGTATTTGCTGTTTTTTGCTGTCGTTATTTTGTTGCTATTTTTTTGGCATTGTGCATTTGCATTTTTTCGTGTTTTTTTGGTATTGTGGATTTTTGCTGCCTGACGCCTTTGCTGAGGAAAAGTGTTGTATTGTTATTGAGTTGTGGCTTTGGTGGGTGATTTCAACAGTACGTCCTTTGTGTTTGTTGCTGGTTGCCTTAAAGCGCGTTTGCATCCATGTGGT